GTATGTGAGGAAACACGATCTCAGCGCTATATCTGTCGTAAATCTGGTATAAAGTATGTGAGGAAACACGATCTCAGTGCTATATCTGACGTAAGTCTGGGAAAAAGTATGTGAGTTAGGAAACACGATCTCAGTGCTATATCTGTCGTAAATCTGGGATAAAGTATGTGAGGAAACACGATCTCAGTGCTGTTGTATCTGTCGTAAGTCGGGGATAAAGTATGTGAGTTAGGAAACACGATCTCAGCGCTATATCTGACGTAAGTCTGGGATAAAGTATGTGAGGAAACACGATCTCAGCACTATATCTGACGTAAGTCTGGGATAAAGTCTGTGAGTTAGGAAACACGATCTCAGCGCTATATCTGACATAAGTCTGGGATAAAGTATGTGAGGAAACACGATCTCAGCGCTATATCTGACATAAGTCTGGGATAAAGTATGTGAGTTGGGAAACACGATCTCAGTGCTATATCTGTCGTAAATCTGGGATAAAGTATGTGATTTAGGAAACACGATCTCTGCTATATCTGTCGTAAATCTGGGATAAAGTATGTGAGGAAACACGATCTAAGCGCTATATCTGTCGTAAGTCTGGGATAAAGTATGTGAGTTGGGAAACACGATCTCAGTGCTATATCTGTCGTAAGTCTGGGATAAAGTATGTGAGGAAACACGATCTCAGCGCGATATCTGACGTAAGTCTGGGATAAAGTCTGTGAGTTAGGAAACACGATCTCAGTGCTATATCTGACGTAAGTCTGGGATAAAGTATGTGAGGAAACACGATCTCAGCGCTATATCTGACATAAATCTGGTATAAAGTATGTGAGGAAACACGATCTCAGCGCGATATCTGACGTAAGTCTGGGATAAAGTATGTGATTTAGGAAACACGATCTCTGCTATATCTGTCGTAAATCTGGGATAAAGTATGTGAGGAAACACGATCTCAGCGCTATATCTGTCGTAAGTCTGGGATAAAGTATGTGAGGAAACACGATCTCAGTGCTATATCTGACGTAAGTCTGGGATAAAGTATGTGAGTTAGGAAACACGATCTCAGTGCTATATCTGTCGTAAGTCTGGGATAAAGTATGTGAGTTAGGAAACACGATCTCAGCGCTATATCTGACGTAAGTCTGGGATAAAGTATGTGAGGAAACACGATCTCAGCGCTATATCTGTCGTAAGTCTGGGATAAAGTATGTGAGGAAACACGATCTCAGCGCTATATCTGACGTAAATCTTTGATAAAGTATGTGAGTTGGGAAACACGATCTCAGCGCTATATCAGACGTCAATCTGGGATAAAGTATGTGAGTTGGGAAACACGATCTCAGCGCTATATCTGACGTAAATCTGGGATAAAGTATGTGAGTTGGGAAACACGATCTCAGTGCTATATCTGACGTAAATCTGGTATAAAGTATGTGAGGAAACACGATCTCAGCGCGATATCTGACGTAAATCTGGGATAAAGTATGTGAGGAAACACGACCTCAGTGCTATATCTGTCGTAAGTCTGGGATAAAGTATGTGAGTTAGGAAACACGATCTCAGCTCGATATCTGACGTAAGTCTGGGATAATGTATGTGAGTTAGGAAACACGATCTCAGCGCTATATCTGACGTAAGTCTGGGATAAAGTCTGTGAGGAAACACTATCTCAGCGCTATATCTGACGTAAATCTGGGATAAAGTATGTGAGTTGGGAAACACGATCTCAGCGCTATATCTGACGTAAGTCTGGGATAAAGTATGTGAGGAAACACGATCTCAGTGCTGTATCTGACATAAGTCTGGGATAAAGTATGTGAGGAAACACGATCTCAGCGCTATATCTGACGTAAGTCTGGGATAAAGTATGTGAGGAAACACGATCTCAGCGCTATATCTGACGTAAGTCTGGGATAAAGTATGTGAGTTAGGAAACACGATCTCAGTGCTATATCTGACGTAAGTCTGGGATAAAGTATGTGAGTTAGGAAACACGATCTCAGCGCTATATCTGACGTAAGTCTGGGATAAAGTATGTGAGGAAACACGATCTCAGTGCTATATCTGACATAAGTCTGGGATAAAGTATGTGAGTTAGAAAACACGATCTCAGCCCTATATCTGACGTAAGTCTGGGATAAAGTATGTGAGTTAGGAAACACGACCTCAGTGCTATATCTGACATAAGTCTGGGATAAAGTATGTGAGTTAGGAAACACGATCTCAGCGCTATATCTGACGTAAGTCTGGGATAAAGTATGTGAGTTAGGAAACACGACCTCAGTGCTATATCTGACATAAATCTGGGATAAAGTATGTGAGGAAACACGATCTCAGCGCTATATCTGTCGTAAGTCTGGGATAAAGTATGTGAGGAAACACGATCTCAGTGCTATATCTGATGTAAGTCTGGGATAAAGTATGTGAGTTAGGAAACACGATCTCAGTGCTATATCTGACGTAAGTCTGGGATAAAGTATGTGAGGAAACACGATATCAGCGCTATATCTGACGTAAGTCTGGGATAAAGTATGTGAGGAAACACGATCTCAGTGCTATATCTGACTTAAGTCTGGGATAAAGTATGTGAGTTAGGAAACACGATCTCAGCGCTATATCTGACATAAGTCTGGGATAAAGTATGTGAGGAAACACGATCTCAGCGCTTTATCTGACGTAAGTCTGGGATAAAGTATGTGAGTTGGGAAACACGATCTCAGTGCTATATCTGACATAAGTGACGTTTATAAGTGACTTATGACACTTACACAGACTAAGATTTTGACTGGGCATTGTATGTTCAGATAGTTATTAATTTCCAATTTCCATATACTGAATTCTAAATAAGAGTGTGCACTATATATAGAAGTGTGAAGTATACACAAGAAAATAGGGTAACAATTTATGATAGTAATATAGTTGAAAAATTGTCATTTTAGATCACAACATGAAATACCTCACGATGCTGAAGGAAATACAGTCAAGTCTCGTTAATCTGACAATCAACTTTATCCAACACAATTGATGGGAACCAATTAAGTCATTTCTATTGAGACCTGTTAATCTGACAGTTTCGCTCTCCAACTCCGACACACCTAATTTGCAACAAATTACCGAAATCATTCATTAGTCAATCTCATTAGCCTGATACAGTGATCAGCATACTCTGTGGTCATCTGCCCGCGAGTACACAGCCCGTGTTTTGATGAGAGACAAGTCGGCTAGTGGCTGCATATCACAATGCACATAGCTTTGTGTCACTTGTTTCATACTATCATTCTAGACTACACTTTCAAAAGTATTTTAAATCAGTCGTACAGCCCCTAACAGTAGTTCGGAATACCCTGTGTTCAGCTTTAGCGGTTGCATGATTAGAAAACATATTCCCCTAACAATATTACATAACAATATGATTATATTCTTTATAAAAAATTTATTACAACATATAAGTATCGTTATCTATCATGTAGTTGTCCGTCTTTGGATCACGTTGTTGGTTGGTTGGTTGGTTGCTTAACGCCGCACTCAGCAATATTCCAGCTATATGACGGCGGTCTGTAAATAATCGAGTCTGTACCAGACTATCCAGTGATTGATATCATGAGCATCAATCCACGCAATTGCGATCGATGACATGTATCAACCAAGTCAGCGTGCCTGACCACCCGATCCTGTTAGTCGCCTTTTACGACAAGCATAGTCACCTTTTACGGCAAGCATGGGTTGCTGAAGACCTATTCTACCCCGAATCTTCACGGGTCCCTCTTTGGATCACAAACATTGATACTACATATTTTCGTTTATCCCACGTACTCAGTTAGTCTGACATAATCATAATAAGCAACCAACCATGTGGGATTAACCAGACTTGACTGTATGTGTATCTTCCATGTGATTCAAGCAGGGTAATTAACAAAACATTGATAATATTTTTATTTTCCTTCAGATCATTACCTTTGTTGTATGTGAAAACTATTAACTTATAAAGTCATGTGTATTGATCCCCAGATTTGGTCTGGCGTGGTGTCATTTAACCTATGGCTTTAATAACTTTAATCATATGATTTTATGGTGGAATCTTTGAGGCCTGATGATTTGAGCTTTAGTCCTATGTTGCCCATTTGTGAGGAGGACCCGCCCGTGTGGTGGGCAATGTAAGTATGGTCGCTGTGGACAAATGTACGTAGAGACGTAGCATGGCAGTTGTCACTCAGGCAGGTGTGCCAGACAGGTGTACAAGGATACATTCTTCAACCTACTTCTTTTATATCAACAGGAGAACAAGCTGGCTTCAAGCAGTGTTTACCTGCATGGATGTCATACCATCTGAAGTTATGTTATCTATTCTATTTGTATTATGAAGCAGGGCATTCAGAAAGAACATCTATGAGTGTCCGTCATATTTGCACGCCTTCTCCAGCAATCAGCACATTATCGTGTAGTGGTGCTACTGTAGCCTAGATATAATCCTCTGTCTTCGCCTGTGCTCATTGACTCTTGGCACTAAGGTGACAGACAGAAGTGTGTTGAGTGTGATTTCTCCTTCTGCTTATAAGGTCATGAACTATCATGGCAGGAGGACACCCGGGCTGGTATCAGGTCCCTATAACTCAAGACAATTTTCCAACTGCCACTACTTCTGATTATATGCAAACATATGCTCATCTTGAATGGCACTTGCTTTACCTGTGTATGGTTATCTAAATTACCTGCTACAACAAGTTAGATCAGTCTCTTGGTCCTTAATGATCCATCAAAGGAATATATGGCATGAGATCAAAGCGTGCAGGACAGGCGAAATTAGAGGCGGTTTTGACATGTTTCGTTCATTATCTAACAATACCCAGCCAATCAGGAGTGGGCAAACCTGTCTTGTTTTACTTCAGTAATAGGGAAAGGAAACAGAATAATATCAGGTATCCTTGGCTTGCAGTCTTGTTGACAGTGCCCTGGAATCTGCTATCATTTACGTTGGCCTAAAATGTAAAGACAGAAGTGTGTCAAGCGAGAGCTCCACCTCCACTGTGTACAAACATAACTGGCGGGAACGTGCCAGTGGGCCAAAATACAGATATTACTCAAGTCTTGGTCAACTTCTGTGATCCTGACTGTCTACATTTAGACCATGCAGACACCACTCTGTCTTGGGAGTATTGCCAGTGACAAGCTTGGAGTTTTGTTTTCTGTGGAAATTAGTTTCAGCTTGTGAATATTGGTGATTATCCAGATCAAATATCTGCTGTGTAAAATCTGCATTGTGTTGGACGGGGCAAGACAGGGGTGTTCACTTGACCTTATCTTTTCCTTTACACCCAGTGATCTGGTCGGTGGTGTGACCATTGAGTTGGACGGGGCAAGACGGGTACTCACTTGTCTCTGTCGCTTCTTTTTTACACCGAGTGATCTGGTTGGTGGTGTGGCAGTGTGCCAGTGACAGGACAGAGCCTAACACTCCAAACGTTTGGACTACTCACTGCAATTTGGACAGGTGTGGAGGTGAGTTGCTGTTTGGTCCATTATATCCCAAACAGTGTTACAAAAAAGTGTCACAAGAGACCACCTGGCTAAAGTGCTCAACATATTTGCAAACATTTGCGAATTAGAGAGAGGAAATTGAACTACGTTTGCTTCTGGGACAAAGTGATTGACATGTCTTCGACCTACTTGCTGGATACTTGAAAACAGCTACCTCAGTCTATATGCAGACCATATTCCAGAATTTCATCACACATTAAAAAGTGTAGGAAGCCTTTATTTCCTATTTGTAAATTTCATCAACTATTATTAAAAAAATATTTGGATTGCTGTTCATGTACCATCATGACATAGAAAGAAGTCTGTGAATCTCTCTGAATACATATGACTTGAAGACATGCCTAGAGCTTCCAACGACATCACTTGTGGACTAATTTGGACAAATTTGATTTAATGCTTGATGCACCTTTACTCTTACAAAAAATAGACCGGAAAGTGGGACACTTTACCAGTTCATTCTCAAACAGCGTCCCAGATCTCTGCAGACCAGATGGTGCAGCAGGGCAGACGGGAAAACATTTCGCCTTTGCTTGTGACAGTTGCGTAACTGACAGTGTGTGACAGACAGGTCTTCCCACAACATCTCAGACGGCCATTCACTGGCAGACAGTTGCCTGGACATCCCAGACAGCCATCGACAGGCAGACAGTTGCCTGGTGACCTGTCTCCTGTTGGCCTCAAGAAAGCTGACTTCAACTTATCCAAGGATCTGAGTTTCATCATGGTTGTATACCAAACCGATGTGGTCATGGAGCCGGATGAAATGTGAGTTAATTTTATATGTAAACCAGAAGTAGCTAGGGTTGGGGGGACTTACCGGACGCAATATATCACATCCTAGATGCCTAAAACTGGGGAGTGGAAGCAAATAATATTAACTGCGAGTCCCATTGGCCAAAATGAGTATGGATGTTGGAATGACAGAGGCTAAATTAATCTTATGTAGGTAAGACTTATGTAATATTTCTGTTCTCATGAGAAATACAGTCAATGTTTGGACAGTCCATGACAGAGATTCTTCACATCGATTCAAACATTACACAACGATTCCATAAAAAGCTTAAGTCATTACACATACAAAGTGATTTATTATCACCCGCCAAGAATAGGAATGGGTGCTGTCCGTCCGTTCTTCTGTCCTTCCATCCATCACGTTTTGTTTCTGGAACACTACTAAAAAATCATGAGAGATATCTTAACCAACCTTGGCACATAGATAGGTCTAGTGGTGAACTGGTGCCTTTTGATAGTTTGGGATTTTTGAAAACTTTATTGTTTGAGTTTCCATGTCAACAATTTTGACTAAGACTGCAAATGGCGGTAGTGCTCATTTCTCGAGCAGATCTTGAAAAATGTGCAATATTTCTTGCCTTGCACTCATCCGAACATGTCTTATTGGTGAGGGATACACCTCAGTATTTCATGCTTGTTTGTTGTTGGTTGGGCTGGCTTTCGATACAGATCATAGAGATTGGTATTCGTTAACCAAATATCAATCAAATATCAATAAATATCAGAGAAGTATTTTTGAGTAAATACACAGAAAATAAATTCCCAATGAAATCAACTCCACTGGTAAGTAGTGGCACATTTATGCAGGGATTAATTTGTGGAAATTTGAGACATAACAAAAACAGTTACTTTCTATCTACAGCGATTAACATTATTGGCAATAACAAGTCTGTTTTGGTAATTCTAAACTTTATTTCATCACAATCATCGATGACACAATTTTCATATCGAGAATCATTAATATTTTTTCCCATCAATGATAATTCTGATTATCGACTTTTGGGGCCAGCCCTGGTTGTTGGTACAGTGGTCACCCTGGGCACCCCATGTTATGCCAAGGACTCCCAAATTCTAGTACTGAGAATTCTCAGGACTTGCAAATATCTACATCCCTGTAGGGATCGCAATCCATTGTGATTGCTACCAGGAACAACAGGCACTAGATGTTTGAGAAAAGCGTACCGATATCAGATCATTGAGCCAACAAGGATTCTGCCATATTCATTAAGTAACATCTTACGGTATATAATGAGTCATCTTCCCGAGGCAAGGGAGTTAAAGGGGCACTGATCTAACGCAATTCCCCGGGACTGGTTGTTGCCTTTGTTATTGTTTTTTCCCAGTGAATACCCGGATGTAGTATCTAGTTCGCGACCTCTGCTGTGCCATTCGTAAGCGCATTAGTCACTTTTATGGGTAGTAATGAGGGCGTATGGTCACATTGATCAACAAAATGAAATACAGTTTTCGAGATAATAAGGAAATGTAGGTATCTTTGTGAGTAGCATCAGTAATGGTGACGAAGTTTTGATAAGTCACTTGCTTGGTAATTTTGCGATTTTCGTTTACACTATTTTGACTTGCAACATAAAGTATATATTTCACCGAGCATATGCTTTTTTTATAGTGTGTATATTTTTTTACTGTCAAATGTGTAACAAATTTATTAAACATCTAAATATTCAGTTATTTTACAAAGTGACTGAAAAACATTTCCATCTGTATTATTATGACAACGAATTCCAAACATTTTGATTTTTAATGTCATCACCAAGAGACTGAAAATGTAACGTTGAAAAGTACATTTCTAAGTTGTTTGGCTTTTAATCCTACATAATAATCTGTTGTGATGTTTGTAGGCCCTTTTGATCGTCTTGATCAATCTGGACAGATTTTTTAGTCAGAATGACTGAAATATTTACACATTTTATAAATTGCCTGAGAGAATCACATTTTACAAATTGACGGTAATATTTACACGCTTACAAAGGAAAAGACCTGTGACAACAACGTCTATCGCGCATTGAAGAATTTCCCAACCAAGACGTAGAGAAACAAGAACGAATCGGTTCAAATGAAGGAAAACAAAATGCAGATATCATAATTACAACCTACCAAATTTATGTGTATAAGTTTTAGGCAGCTTCCTTGTTCGAGGAATGTATCCGTGAATATCCACACAAAGGAACAATATCCCACTCGTCTGCAGCTGTACAAAGAAACTTATTCGATGTCACGTGTCTTAGTAACAATCAAATATTTTAAAAGATATATATGTTTCAGGTGTTTTACATAGGTGTCAAGTCTCAATGGTCGGCTGAGAAAGCCCACGTGACAACTATTTTCATAGCGTCCACGGTTCCTAAAAATTCCATTGAGTGAAAGAAGACAATGATCAATCAATCAACGTATTATCAGTTAACCCTTTGAACAAAGTATGTTGTTTTTACATCGGCACTTCGCGCCATGATATGAGTGTATTCCCTTTGTTTTAGTAAACCTAGACATGTAAACACTCACTCTTGACATATCCACTGTGCAAGATAACAGTGATTAATCAATCAACGTATTTTCTCTTAATCCTTTGATGACTAGGAACGATTAGTTGATTTACAAAGAAAGTAAATCAACCGATCCTTCTTCCCCTGCTGGGCTGCCACGTGCATATTACATAACACACATTTCACCTCACTTCAAACCTGGATTTAGATTGAATAATTACCCCAGACACAATAAATGCCAAATGGGAATCTTTGTCAGGTAATATAAGTGGTGCTACCACTAATTGTACCTGTAATAAATTCATTAACTGAGCATCAAGTGAATGACGACAAATACACAAGTGTAGGGTTATACGAGAAAACGTGGATGACAACAAGGGAGTAGTAATCGTATTATCGACGCAAGCCGAAATCCGAAAATGCTTTCACTGCATGGATACTGTTTTAGTATTAAACTATAACCATCTGGGGTATTTCCAAATGACGACATCCGATGAGCTCCCTTGTTCTTTTTGTCTGTTTGTTTAGGCTGAAGAAATGAATTAACATGCGCCCTTTGTCGAAATCTTTATAGATCACAGTTAACCAATCAGTGTTCAAAAATGCGTAAAACAAATATTGCCTCCAGCCTCCAAGTTTATTTAGCTGTCCTTGCAGACGGTACCCCAGTCTCTGGTCACGCTCAGTTGCGTTGCGTATCATCCGGGTACTCACGGGGGAAAAACAATAACAAAGGCAACAACCAGTCCGTTAGATCAGTGCCCCTTTAACTGACTATAAAAGTCCAGTTTCCACTTTTGCCAAACTAGGCTGGTATTATGCAGTTACATTATGGCTGGACTAACGAGTCGATGCACAGTCCAATCAAAATCGCGCAACAAAATCGAAATCCGGTTAAAAAACTGTTGAGCAGATTTCGGTCGATTGCAGAATTTGCAAAACATGTGGACAGATATTTTCTAAATCTTTTCATATCTTTAATTAAGGTGCTCGTGTGATTTGATGCACTATGCGATGTTAATTTAAAGACCCATTTTATCACAATATAGATCTTGATTATTGATCAGATCATCTTGACTGGGCGCTGCCATTTTGTTTGAAACAAATGGAAGTGATGTGAGAGGTGGAATCTGATTGGTCCATAGGAGAGGCTTAGAAGGGACATAACTCATACTAACCACTGGTGGCGCTACGATCATGCCCAGGAATTCCATCCTAGTTAGGCAAGGGTGGAAACTGGACTTTTAAAGTCAGTTAACTCTCTTGCCTCAGAAAGATGATAATGAGTAAACACAGTTCAGGTTAATAAGTTGTTTTTGTTTTCAACAAGTTTCATGCTTTCTTACATTTTTTCCCTTGTGCACTGACTGGATCCATTGATTAAAACTGTGTTGCTCACTTGGTATTTCCTATCTAATTTTGTAAAGATAATTATATTTGCAGTAAAGTTTCATGTTTCCTTTTTATTACCCTGAACAAGAATAATTGCCTTGTTTGTTGTATGGGACATCATGCTGGTTATTTGTGAAGGTCATAAGCAATGTCAGCGTGTGCCTGCTGCTCTTGCCGTCTGTGGGTGGGCTGGGAAGGGGTGACGCTCACATGCCATCTTTCTCACTTGGTCTCACTGTGAACACTTAAATGTCACAGCAGATCTTGACATGTATCGTTTAAACAGTTCAAATGACATTTTGTTTTGCTAATATTTTCTGTTGAAAAGCTGTTTGAGAACTTAATGTGAAATGGAACCTTTTTTATTTTTTACTGGGAATGTTTTATGTCTGACTTTTATAGAAGCTGTGAAAGACAACAGCATCTGAATCAGTGTAGATTCTGAAAGCAACCTTCCTTAAGGAATCTCAGCTTCTTGAGACTTAATATAAATTATATTTGTTGAAGGAACAGGTTTTTAGGCTTTTGTGTGCGTTTACCTCTGATGTTAACCATGTTCATGAGATGAAAATGTAGTCCATAAAGATTACCCAAAACATGTTACATTTGAATCCGAACTTAATACCTGGGATTAGTTGCAAGACACCTGACATTAGGCCGACATTTAGTCCCAGAAATAAAGTTGTCTTATTTATCAATTGATATCTACAAAATAAAAAAGTAAAAATCCAATGGAGCCCAGATCAATGCTTCAGAGCTGAGGCAATCTAGACTTGCTAAATCATTCTGATTTGAGTCTATTCAATTTTAGTTTATTCTTGAGGGTGCCTGGAGGACAGACTAAAGCTACAGTGCATGTGATGCTGACGATACGTGCAGTACATATATGTGATCATTGAAGAGTTCAGTTTTTGACTGTCCTTAGCCCAACTGGTTGCTGAGTTTAATATATCATTTAGCATTAATGAGCTTTCACATTAGGTCTACTCTTCATCAAACATACACTCTGCCATCAATATTCCCCCAAAATTTATTAAACCGAACACTCTGACATAAACAAAGGAGGACGGGTGGCCCTGT